CATCACACAATCACAAAATGAGTATCATAAGCCCAGTCCAGTCGTAACCCCCCTTTGTAAGTCCCTCCCCGCCCCCCCTCCTGCAAGTCGCACACGTAGCATTCTAAGGGCATAAAGCGTACTTATCGGCTTTTCCCCGAGCTCGACCGAAGACCGACTAAACAGGAGCTGAACTGCTCAAAATACCCAAAACCAAAATCTCGAATGTCCATTAGCATACGACGAATCCACCTATACCCGGTTTTTGCTCAGAGGTCTTCAGGGGCGTAGGGGGATTTTTTTCGAAAGGGGTATATATTATTTTTACATTTAATCTTTCTGTTTCAATTTTGTTTTATTTATAATATTTATATTTTAATGCGTTTTCTAATTTTAATATTTTCAAATTGTATTTTAAAACTAAAAATTTTTCAAAATATATTATAAAAATATTTAAATATTTTAAAAGTATTTAAATAATTTTTTAAATATAATACCGTTTGCCTAGAACAACAGGCACTTGAACCCCTTTTCCCCTACGCCCCTGTGGCCCCCCCTTTAACCCCCCAAAAGCCTTAACCCTCCCAGTTATCCTGGCCACGTCTGCAGCCTTTGGCTGGAAGTTTCTTTCGCTTTCGCTCCTTTTTGCCATCGAACCACTCAGCAACTTACCACCCACACAGATGGTTTTTCAGGGGGGTTTCGAAGGGGGGGCTTTGAGGCAAAGGTCTTCGGGTTGCCTCCACACACAGACACACACACACGGTCAGGGGAAAATCCACACCATCTGCCACACCTTACACCTAACCCAACAATCCAATTCCGAGGCAACAATATGCTCCGCACACAGAGGCGGTGGGTCAAGGGGGGAGAGGGGGGGCTCAAGGGGGTCAGGGGTCATGGGTGGGGAACCCTGGTAAGCCGAAGGGGCAGCCATATTGCAATGTATGGCCAGGGCGCTTGGAGCACGCAGCCAGCGAATGTGGACGTGATGCTCGAACCTGGAACAAACCCCCTCTATAAAACCCCCTTTTCGAAGAACCAACCCCTTCATCATTTCAAATTTAAATTTAACCTTTTGTCTTAATACGGGCAGGCGAACAACGAGCACGAGCTGCTGTCTTGGGCATCATAAAAACATCGTCAAGTCGATGGTGGGATAGAACCAGAGTCCGGAGTCCGGAGTCCGCAGTCCTCAGACCGAAAAACCGGACCGAATAGAGACGTATGTAGGTGGATAGGTGGATAGGATGGTATGTGGTTATGTGAGTGCTGGGAAGGGCCAGCTTAGAACCGTATTATTGGGGGAGGCAACTAATTTACGGATTTGCCACCCACACCACACGAAAAAGCGACTTAAATGCCGCCGAGGTAGACGGAAGTTCACGAGGGCTTAGGAAGTGACCAGAAGGAGTTATGTTTCAAGGATAAGTGAACAAGTCCTGCTTAGAAATTCCATAATGATGTATTAGTTTAATATAATGTAAGAATCTTAAAAAGGTTCTCCTTCTGCAAATTACAAGTTTATTACGAAAATAATTAAATCTACCATTTGAAAAATATCTATTTCTTGATATTAATGTTAAAGATGGTATATTTACTCTTTGATTGGAATGAAAATCTAAGCTATAATAACATCTTTCTCTTTGCAATTCTGTAAATAAATTTGTAAATTTATTACTAAAACGATCTAAAAATCTAGTTAAATTATGTTTAATAAATATTTTTTGCGTATTTCAATCACTCCTCTTTTTCGCTGTGTAGAATAAAATTGAAGATGGTCAGCTGAATGAGAGGGCTTAAAGACGCCCCCGAAAGTTACCTTAATCAATGAAGTGGCAACAAGGAAAGGGAGGATCCTGCGGAGGACTAAGAGGTGGATAACTAGGAGGTTCTTTGGGGGCGTGGGCGGCATGGGAGTGCCAAAAAGGGGGGTGTCCAAAGGGAATGCTAAGGGAAATGGCCAAAATTCAAAATGGCCACTTGAGGGGTGAGTGGAAAGCCAACGGCGAGTTCGCTTCTGTAGTGGACAACTTGTGCAACACATACAAACAAAAACGGGGTTGTGGGAGGGGGTGGGAAGTGAGTGGGTTAGGGGTGGGGGGTTGGGTTTGGGTTTGGTCGAGAGGCAAAGCAGGAACAGAACGGCATCGGAGTTATCAACATAAAAGTCAATCTGCTGAGGGGGTTGAATACGAACACAGTCCCACGAAAGGGCTAAACAGCAGGGGCGGGGGTGGGAAAGGGGTGGCAGGGGGAGGCAAAAGGGGGTGCAGAACGTAGTGGGGCAGTCACAGTCGTTAAAGCGTCCCCCCCTTTATTGACCCCTTTGTTGGAGCGCTAAAACGCAAAACCAAAAACACACAGAGAGAAAATTTAAATTAGACTGAAAAATATACTTATAATAACAAATATCCATTAAATATTTAAATTTATTAATCTATCAATTTTATTCTTCAAAAGCAAGGAAAATGTTATATATTTAAAATCAAAATTTAAATAATTAAATAATTGAACATTCAAATGTAGGTACTTATACTTCTTTGAACTGCCTTTTAAATTAGAAGGTAAATGCCAAAATAATTCCGAATAAATGTTTTAAAAGTAAAAGATTAACACTAAAATAATTCAGTGAAAGTTCACAATATTTTTTGCTTTGTATTCTTTTAAAATTATAAGAGTAAAATATTATTATATTTTAGATTACCTTTTTAAATGCTGTAAAATTTGTTTTCAGTGTCTAAACTGGACTGGCTCGCTTGCTCGCTCTTTCTCTCTCTCCCTCCCTCTATTTCTGACCCACCACCACCCCCTCGAAGGACTCGCAGGACATTGAGCGGGCTGGTCGTTAGTGTTGGTGGCCCGGTGATGGACGGCCCACGGAGCAGAGCTGAAGTGGCTGCCAGTTTTGCAGTTGTTCGTGGATTGAAATCGCACATATTTTACCTTGTCTCTCTCACTCTCGCACTTCTCGCTTGGCCGGCCATCCTGGACAGGTCCTGAGTATCCCGAGTATCCTGCGTGTTTCACTTCGTTTTCGAATGAAATCGACAAAGTCGAAAGTCCACCCCTAATGGCTAGCAGCCAGCGAGTAGCGACCAGAAAAGCTCGAGACTCCGGACATCGAACGGACCTCAAGCGGCCATTTGCCATTCAACCCTATATAGCCGGTGTCCTTGGAACGGGACAGCCCACACCCACCCCATCCCTCACTCCAGCATTTATACAATTACATTTATAAATGCCGCTCTGCGATATCAAACAGGCGGACATGGAAAAACACACAGAAATCGGAGGGGGGAAGGGAAGACAATCGAGTGGGTCTCCGTCTCCAAGTCTCAAAGTTCTTGATATTTTGATTGGGGGGCTGTTTCACCCCTTCATTCCATCTAATGGCTAATTTTTTGGCATTCGAAGTCTATAAATTGCCCATAAAAAGGAGAACTTAAAGCATTCTAAACAAAGGATATATAATATTTTTTTAAATACAATATTATTTAGAGAACGTCAAGTTCATATAACTTTTACCGCATTTTAATTGGGATATATAATAAATATAAATATTATGAAGAGGATAAAGTGGAATGGATCCTTTTATGTAGATATTATAAATCGTGCCCAGAAATGGCAATTAATAATATTACTAAAAGTAAGTGAACTAAAATATAGTATAGTAAGATGTGAGAAAATCTAAATTTATGTTTTATATTAATAGAATTATTAATAAAAATATTTAAAAAGCAAGAGATAAGAAATTTCTGATTATAATTCATGAGACTGACATGAAAATAAACTACTTGAGAAGCCAACATTTAAATCCTTATGTTCTTCATGTTATTCACAATTAAAACTGTTTGGAAAACCCCTAAAGCTCTTGAGACCTCTTAATAATCTTATCTTAGATCTTTAACGAGGTGATCGCGAGGGTATCGAAGAAGCGGGTAACAATGCGAATTGGCTAATTGATGGCACTTCGGCGGAACCACTTGACTGGTATCGGATGGGTTAGGATCTCGGCGTCCCATCGAGGACTTCGAAAAGCGCAAATCCGAACGAGGAGCACCGATAGCCGGGCGATGGGTGTCGGCCGATAATTACCGATCGGCGAGCGATAACGCGTCCAACCGATCTTCGCGGCAGTCGATCGTGAATGTGAATGGGATGACTCGCGGATTTGCCTATGCCATCGGGTTTAGCGTAGGGTTAAACGGGCACTACTTCCCTACGGAAAAAAAACGGGGTGAGTTCCGATTCCGAACCCCCTTTGGATTTTTGGTTTAGCTACCTGGGAATGGGAATGGAGTGTCCCTTATTGGAACATCTTCGGATCGCGTAACCCTTTCGGGTAAATCGCGTTAATCCAGCGCCAGGTAGTACTGAAATTATCATTTTTCATTCCGGCCGTGACATCTGGCTTCCCGAAACGCTAAGATCGGCTTCGCTGAAGTGCCCACAAAAAGGAAGGAAGTGCCAAGGGGGAGAAATGTCAGCACAAGGACTCGCCTGAATAAAATATAAAAATAGGAAGTGGTACGGGAAATGTCACACGGTCAGAAACTCTGACTTATTCAACTCGCCTAATTGAAATCACTCGTCCTTTGTTTCGCTTCTCGAACAATGAGTCCACGACCTGTCACATGTCAACGTGGAGAAACAAATAAAAAACCAAACAATAAACCACTCACGTTCAAAAAACATATCAAATATACACATAAAAAAAACAAGTCGCGGTTAAATCGATATGGTAAAATTCTGGCATTTCGTTTTTACCATGCAGAACCAATTTATCTCTCTCGGAGATTCGAATTAGAGCGAGATAGCGCTTAAAGTAACATAAGTGTGAGGGAGAAAAACATATTCGAAATTCGAACTCGCCAGTTGTTTCAATTTCGAGCATATCAAGTCAAAATTGATACCACGTAACGTAAAATCGATCATCGTTTCATATCAAGTTTCTTTTTTGGCTGTAGTAGTCCTTGAGTTTAGCCTTCAGTCTGCAGTCAGTTTGATTTGATCAGAGCTGTAAAAGCCACGGCAAAGTTCAGTAACAATTTTCCAACGCTCCCATTTTTATAGAAAAAAAATAACAACAAAATTTCAAAGTTAACAAAATTTATTCTCTTTATTTTTCTGGTAATCATGTCGAAGGCCACCAAGCTGCGCTTTGCTCTGATCACCGAGGATGTGCTGGACAAGCTGAGGCCGCGTTCGCAGTCGGAAAGTACCCGCAACAAGTATATGAATGAGATATATGTGGCTATAAGGACGGCGGTGAATGAGGTCATCGACGAGAAGCTGCAGCAACTAACTGCGACCATTGATCAGATGGTTGAGGAAAGGGTTACAAAGATCCTGGATCAGCGGGTGGCGGGGGGCAGTGGCTTGGCCTCAACATCTGGGAAAGGAAAGAGGGAGAGGGGAATAGGGGATAGAAAGGACAACAAGGATCTCAAGTATTCCGAGACCAAGGCCACAGCCGAGTGTTCCAGTTCTCTGAGGTTAGCCACTCTTAAAAAGCGACAACCCAAGAAGACTACCAATCCCATGAAGGAGCATGTGACCTTCGCCCCCGAGGATCATTTGGTCAAGAAACCCAGGACCAAGACGCAGAAAATCACCGTGATACCCATCCATCGGGAGAATCAGGTCAAGAGTTCGCCCTCTTCATCCGGAAATAACCCACCTTTGGCTCCCCCTCCGCCACCCACCTTCCAAATGGATCACAATCGCCTCGATGAGGATGACGACGACGATGATACCAACTTCTCGGATGTGGAGGAACCCTCCATCTTGACCATCGCCGCCAAATATCTGAAGAAACTCGAGGATGCCCGACGTCGCAAGCAGCAGCATTAAATTGTTAGTCAAAACAAAAAAATTGAAACCCCCTCTATAAGGTAGAAGACCCCCTGGAAGTCTCCTTCGTATCTGCCTAACTCTTGAGCTGAATTTCCAAAGAGTGTTTATACTTTATAGGATTTATAGGATGTTTGGTCCGAAGCCATCAAAAAGTGTAAATAAATTCAGAGTATAAAATTATCCTATGAAGTTTTACTTTAAGATCAAAGGTTCAAATTTGAATACCTTAAAAAGAATACAATTTTAGCATTCATTAAAATAAAATGATTTGTTAATGTTTTTTAGAGATTTTTCGTTAATATCATAAATAATTTTAAAATAATATTAAAATCATTAAAAAAACATAATATTAAATATTTATCTTTTATTTTCTATTGTAAAAACCTTTTTAAAATAATTTAAAAGTAATCAAATTGATTATATAAAATAAGGAGAAAACAAGGTGGAAACCATAAAATAAAAGGCATCTTCGGAGTCTCCCAAAGAACCAAAACCCACTGGCTTAACCCCCGGCAAAGCAATTTCCATTTATGCTAGTTTCCATATCCATCCGCAACAACATCCGCTCCATCCCCTTGAAGATGAAAAAAACCCACCGTTGAAGTCGTCTAATCCATGAAATATGTAAAGTGAAAAATTGAATCGCAAGCAATTGTAAAAATCAGCCTGGTTACATTTCTAGCGGCGATGGGGGGTTAAGGGGGTGGCTGAAGGACAGGGGCTGCGTGGGGTTAAGAGTCGCATAGTCTTTGCCGCTTATCAACGAACTGCAGACAAGGCCAGAGCATCAATCAAGCGTTTCCAATGAATGGCTATCGACTGAATTAGACGACCAGCTAGAATATTCCCAGTCCCCATTTGCCACTCGCCTCTTACACTGAAAGAAAAGGCTGAAAAATACTCTTTTTGATTGATTAGTAAAGTAAAAAGAATTTTTATTCGTATATCAACTGATTATTTAAATATTTTTGTAAAAAAGAATTTAATTTTCTGTCCATTAAAAATTACAAAAATTAAAATAAAACTAGTTATAATTATTTATCAAAAAAATTACCTAATAAAATTGAAAAAAAAAAATTTGATTGAATAGTAATTTAATATTCTATTAAAATGTAAATTTTAATTGAAATATTATATTTATTTTACTTCGAGAGACGCAAGGAACTTTTATTTTATAAGAAATAATTTTATTTCTGCCCCCTTAAAACTAGAAAAATTTAAATAATATTACTTACTAATATGTAAAAATATTTATTTTCATTCAAGTGTATCACTAGCACTTTTTGAGTCTTTTGCAAATTCTGGACCACCACCCAAAATAAAAAAAATGAAAGAGAACGAAGTGGAAAGGACAGGCAATATTTTTGCGGCTTAATATGTGTTAAAAAAATGGAAATAAATAAATGCGAACCGCTGGCGAAAGAAAAAAATGTGTTTTTCTGCAGGATGGCTGGGTGGTCCAAAAAGGGGGCGGTGGGTGGTGGATGGTGGGCTAGTGGGTGTGGCTGGCTTATCGGTATCCTTGTAGCCAGTGACAGGACATAACATAACCCCTGGTATCTCCAGTGAGCCATGCGTGGGCGCCTTTTCTCTCTCTTTTTTATTTTTTTTTTCTTTCTCATGTGTGTGGTCACCCCGAGAAGAGAGGTCAAAGGGCGGGTAAACCCCCGGCGAAAGCGAAAAGGGGTTAAAATTGCTGACTAAGTACTTTGGAAAATTGCTTACATGTCTGCTATCTTCTGGCCGCTGCCCGCCTTCGTTTAGCGGTAATACATTTTCATTTATGTATAATACTGGGCATTGGTTGGGGGTTTTCCTTGGGTTTTCCATGGGTTTTCCTTTACCCAATCCATTTGCCAGGCCAGCGGACGACAAGTGTTGGGTGCCATGTTTATGTTTTCTCGTTGTCTATCATTTGAGAGAAAAACCCCCCTCCACACACCACGGGAAAAATTCCTTTTGAAGCCAAGTTCGCGTTTCAATTTTTTTTTTTCGCTTCTTGTCGGTAATATAAAATCCACAAACGCGACGAGAACTTCACATATGACAACGGGGGACAATCGAAGGAGGAGGCTGCGGTGAAGAAGACGGTAAGGTGGTAGGACGAAGGACGAAGGACGAGTTGGCCAAAGACACACGCCGCTGCTCTGGATGTTTGTGATTTTTGAAGCGGAAAATCAAAGTTAAGCCCTGTTTATACATGAAAATATATATTATATTGGAAAATAAACTATTACTTAAAATGGGAAATACTATAACACCTTTTTATATTAGTTAAAGAAAGATGAAGAAACATTAAATAATATTTAAAGCTTAGATTTAATTTCGAATAAAATAATATTTAATATTTAAAAGTTTTTAATTGATTTTGATACCTATTAAAATTGAAAAAATATGTAAAATAGTGAAATATTGAAACATTTCCTACTTCATTAGTTTAAAATTTCAAAAACAATATTATAAATATTTAAGATTTTTTTTTATATAATAACAAACCTTGTGTGAACGGTACTTAAGGCGCGACACGACGAAAGACTGCCCCCTTTTTCTTAGTATGTGTGTTGTGCTTCCGCTCCCCTTTCGTTTTTTGCCTTCGTTCGTTCGAGTTTCAGAAAATTGCATTTTTTCATATCATTAGGTTTTATTGGTTTCTTCCTGTTAAATATTCCCAGCTCCCCGCCAACCACTTGCCACGCTCCACGGTCCATGGTCCATGGTCCTTGGTGTCCTGCTCCTTTTGTCTCGCCGGTTGTCAAAACAACAACACGGCCACACGCTCCAAAAAACAACCTGAACAACACACATGAATGTATATATTTTGCTCGGTATATAATGCGTACTATATATATCTATATATATATACTGATACACATGTGAGGCACGCATCATATCATTCGGAAACGACGAAACGGCACCGGGAGTCCTGCCGCTGCCTTACCCATCCCCATTCAATTCCGAAACATCCTTTTATTCCTTCTCCTGCGGGGCGCCAAATGCAAGTTGGCGATTTCCCTGGGAGCCTTTGTGTTTGTTCCACCATTCCAATTGGAATCCCCAGCAGCCCAACATCCTTAATAATACTCGTCCACCTGCGAAGAACAATATTAAATCGATTGGACAATTAAATGCCATCATTGGAGTGCAAAACGGGAGCTTCACTTTAAATATAGATAAATTCATACCTAAATATTGGAATACAAATGTGTATAAATAAAATTACAGTCACAAAGACTTGTATTCAATTTAACGCTCAATTTAATGTACTTCTTATTTTATAGGTATTGGTATACTTGGCTAAAGATACTAATTTAAAATATTAACTTATCTAAAAATCGCCCTCTTATTTATTTTAATTACTTCTATTTGTTTTTACAAAAACACCTTATATCAAACCAAAAGGACACAAGTTTTAGAAAACCTTTTCTAAGTGAACTTAACCATTTAAAATCTTTTCTTTCTTTTGATTTATTCATTTTACCAACTACTGTTGTTGATAGATATTTAATTTAAATTTTAAATTACCCATTAAAATCTTGCCTTAATAATGCAATTAAAGTTCGTATAACAAACTTAAAATTGCATGTCTTCTTTAGCTGACTTCTTGTGATATTTGCCAATAATTTCGCAAGCCCCAAACAGATGTGTCCTGTCAGTTCATCGCATCATGGCAGTTGCTCAACTCCACTCCATTGACCAACTTAAGCCACAGACTGCGCAAAATATTTGTCCAGGCAAACACATTATGGCTGGCACGCAAAAAAAAAGAGAAAATACAAAAAGGAAAATCAGATTTCCATCCACCACGGCCCAATGCCTATGTAAATAAAGGTGGTTATGGTTACATAGTACGCACGGCGACTGACTACGTGATACATATGGGACCCACATACCCCACATCCCACATCAAATGTCCTGGCCACAAGAACAACAACAATGCCCATGGCAGCCCACCTGCGTAAATCAGGATCTGCAGGACCTCTGATTGACTGCCTGACACATGGGTGGGTTTAAGCGGGGTGTGGGGAGGAGGGGAGGTCCTCGCAAGGATAACTGGTCAAGAGGCAAGGCGACCCAGCAGGCAAATAGAGAAGAAGCTCCTGTGTCAGCGCAATATGCCACTAAGCCAGCGAAACCACCTGCATGGGGTGGCAAGGGTTTGCACTGCAAAAAGTACTTACCTCTTCAAAAATTGATAGTTTTTCAAACTTAAAAAATAATTAAATTAATAAATTAAATTATTAATAATAAAATTAAAATTACAATATTTATATATAAAAAGTTTTTTTAAAATTAACAAAAATATTTATTCCATAAAAATACCAACAAATTCATATCTTTAAATGAAATTTTGATTCGTATATCAGGTGATATTTTCGTCCTGTGTGAGTCCTTACTGCTGGGGTCCTTTTTGGACCGCTTCACATGTGTATGGTTGTATGTGTTTGGGTGGGTGTGTGCTCCTTGTTGATGATGCGCTTCGGTGGACGCCGCCCAGCGGAAGAGGAAATGAAAAAAAAAATGAAAAAAGAAATGAAATGAAAGAGAGAAACAGGACGAACTGTCCGTGTGGCGTTCCGTCGTCCTTGCCGATTCCGCCCGGTTGGTTTGCAAAATTTTTGAATTGGATACCACTGGCACTCCCATCCCCATTCCCATTTCGCCATTTCCATCCCTTTCAACGGACCTCTGTCCTCTGTCGTCTGTCGTCCTGACCAAAAGGCAGGTCCTGCGTCTGCGTCCGTGTGTGTGTTCGTTGTATTTGAAATTTTGCATATTAAAATATTGTCGTGCATGCAAAGGTCGCTCCTTCGAAAAGGAAAAAGGAATACGGAAAAAGGTGCCCGGCGCCGTGCGTCGCTGCTTGTTTCTTTGGCAAACTGTGGTTGAAACACTGGGATTTTCAGGAATATCTTAGAAGTAGAATTTTTTAAAATATAATTGGGTAAACATTTATTTCAAAAGAAAAAAGATATGGGAAAATATATACTTTTTTCTGGAGAAATTAATTTTTTTTTGGAGCTGATGCTGTTAATTTTGTAAGAAATCAGTTTTTAACTTAAACCTACTCATAGTAAAAATATTTGGTAATATTCTCGATGCTTATTCTTTTAAAGAGATTTTTATATATATCGAAGATTATTTTTTACTCAAAATAATATAATAATTTGATAGATAGACTA